TATATGCACATTTTTAAAAAGTTATAGAAATGTAGCTAATGATAAAATGTCCTTATTTCACAGAAACTTGCATATAACCATTGTTTTTCTAATCCATCCCCCCATCACCCACCTAGCAGTTTAGCTACTGACTCGTCTCCATGGACCCTCCCTTCTAATTACAAGTTCAGAATTTGGAATCAGCATCCAATTTCAGATCATGCAACTGAGTTATTTATCTCACTGACAGATTCATTTATACTTTCATTCACTCGCTGCTCTGTGACACAATCCATCCACACAAAGACACCAAATGCACTGAGACACCCAGACGCCTGCTGGTCCCTGGGCTAAAAGATACTTCCACTCCACCAGGCTGATGCAGGCTCTGCGGATCGGATTGTTGAGGGTGAGGCAGAAAAGGGCTCTGGGCGGTCTGCCGCTGGTGGATCCTCCCTGCTTTTTGCTTTTGGCATACTGCTGCCTCTTCTTCTGTGCCAGTGAGCCCACAGGAGCTGGCGCAGAAGTGGTACAAACTGGGGGACGTGAACTTATGTTGGGCTTTTCAGGATCGCCCTGCGCTTGCCGGGCTGCGCTAATGGCGGCATGCCAAGCTAGGACCGGGCTGACTCCGGGTGCAGCTCCACCGGGGCCCTGAATGGAGTTGTTGGCCCCGAGGAGGCCATGAGCGGAGCCGACGGGCTTGCCGGTGCTAGCTGGAGGATGAAGGGACTGTGATGAATGGAGCTGGTGCAGATGGGTGTTTCTTTCTGACCAGGGAGCTGAGGTGTCAGTTGGGGAAGTGGTCCTTCTGTTGCTGGCATACTGTGCCCCTGGAGAGAGCGAGTGGGAAACAAGAATAATATTTTGAGATTGAAGTTATAAACAAAAACACCTGAACATGTGTGTCATTGGAGGCATTGCAGAAAAGCTGCAACATTCCAAAATCCAATTTTTTCCACATTTTTACAATTTCAGGCTCATATCTGCCAGCTAGTAATAATACAGATGACATACTCACTTTGAATCCCTATGCAAAAAGTAACATATCCAAAATCTACACTAACATTTAAAGTATTCATCTACGCTCATGGGGCAAAACAAAGGCTCTAAAAAAGTTGCCTAAAATGTGTTCTTAATCTACACTATTCAAATGATAAACTTGCAGAAATATATCCTAATATTAGCTCAACGTGTTTACACTTGCATCAAGAACCAGCCACTCCAGCTCACATGTTTTGCCACAGCCAATCATTGAACAGTTTTCGGAAGAATATTTTTTGAGGCCCTGACATTCTTGTGTAGACAAAACACAGTAGCATCTCCATATATCTCCATCTTGTGGCTCTCCTGCCTTTGGAGGTCACGATTTCCACAGCACCAGCAAAGACAATTGTGTTTGCTCCTTTAACATCTCACGGATGTATTTTCTTGATTGTCAAAAAGACAAGACTCCATTCTTTAAAATCTGGGTTAGAGAAATGCTTTCTATGCTGTGTTATAAAAACTGAGGTACAGTAGAGCCAACTCTCTGGAAAGATTCAGAACCACCTGGCTGCCTTTCACTGAATGGCTATCATAATGCCACCGTTTTTGTCTTGTTAATGTACATAATAATGGCACACTCATGAACTGATGGTGAGTTAAGGAGAACGAGTCCCCCCCATCCCTATTATGTACACTGTTTATGTTATTATATCAAATTGGGGGTTTTTCTGTCTTGTACCCGTAATCTTAGGGATGGATGTGGGGAACATTACATTTTTTTAGAAAATTATAAATACAATTTGTGCCAATATGTCTCTGATATATTGGCTATTTCAGCTATTAGTCCATATATTGGCAGAGACATTTATAATGGCTGATAAATTCAAAGTATAAGAGTGAAGAAGCGATGGGAAAAATACCCTTCAGCCACGTTATTAGCGTGGATGTTGTATTTTTTGCCCATCAAAAAGCACTTTGCATTTTCACTGTTGGCAAAGTGATGGAAGTCTACAAAAAAGATCAGCTGGTCACATAAAGGTGTAATCCACAACCTGCTGTGACAATAAAATGAGATTACTTTTAAATAATATTGTCATTATAGGACTCATAAATAATACCCATAGTCTTGGTCTTGGTCTTAAAAATCAGTTTTTAAAGTGCTTTTCAAACAAGGACATCACCATGCTTTCCCAATGAATGAGGTGACTGAAGATAACTGCTAGAATCTCTGTTGGGAGCCTAATGGCAGTGGACATACATATATAATGTCGACAACATTATCACTACTTCACATTTAAACTTGCCTTGTACATTTACTTGTTTAATATGCAATTAACTGTCCTTTAAGAACCCATCCAGAGATAAAATGGGCAGAAAAATAAGAAGAAGAGGTGATTATGGTGATTATAATTATGGTGATGACGGGCTTGAAAGGAGCCCAGAAAAGACAGCTATAGAAAGAGAAAGCAGAACAGCCTGCATGAATGGGAGAGACAGAGAGAGTCATTAAAATCAATGCAGACCATGAGCTAAAAAAGTCAGTGCCCTTGACACAGTCGCACACTGCAACTCTATAGCACAGTCACATCGGGGAGTGTTGTCAGCTATAGACTGGCCGTGTCATCCAGCAAAAACAGCTCCAACACACAACTAAGCACATAAAGAAAAAGAAAGAAAGAAAAAAGAAATGAGGAATCGATTTGTGTGGGTCATGTGCAATATGAGAGAGAGGCACAAAATCTGAGAAGAATAAAGTTTTTCTTTTAAAAGGTAATGATTAGACAAAGTTGGTTCCTTTATCAGATTTCAGGCAAGCGCCTTAATTTTATTACTTTTCATCAATATTCTGTGTTCGTCTGTGCAAAATCATAGTCACGATGACTCGACGCTCATAGTTAAAACATGATAGTTTATTATGCGGGGAAGTCTATCCAAAACATCACTTCACTTTAATTGCGCTTGATGTCAGCGCGATCGCAGGTGAGAGGTGCATTCAAAACATTTCAGCACCACCCCTCCTCATACAGCGATACACCGCCACAGGTGCAGCAGAACAAGTGCACGCTGCTAGTTAATAATAGTCACAGCCTGTCCGACATGTAAAAGGAATTAACCCAGCGCTTCTGCTGGATGTCGCACATCTGTCACAAGATGCTGCAAAACAGCTGTTGACTGTTGCTGTGGTCGAGTTTTGCTGCTTTTGTTTGGACAGCTTCTAAACTCTAAAAGAAAAACTTAGAAGAGAAGGAATTTACTTTAAAAAGTTCATTTAGGGTCTCGCAGCTTGTTCTGCAGAGCGAATATATTCAAAGCATCCTGTCACATGGTTTCAGAATGACTGTTATAGTCAACCATTTTTCGGAGAACTAGCCTCAACTCGCTTCCCAGTGGATCTGATTACTGATGTTATCACAATAATGTAGCCTACAAGCGCTTACAGTGTTAATACACAATCCCTGCACTGGAATAAGTTGAGGAGGGGAAAAAACATGTCAGCAGCAGCCACGACTCAGAGCATATAATCACACGGATTAATCAGACATCCAGAGAATAAACCAAACGAGCGCTCTCGCCCCCTCTCCCTCTCTCTCTGCTGCGCTCCAACTCTCCTCCTGCGCTTCCACACGCACGTTTTAGGTTTTGTTTTTTTACCTTCAGACTGTTCATCTGCTTCTTGCATCCTCGAATCCACATCGAAAAGATCCGTTTTAAATCCAACTCATCGTTGGAAAAACCGTCCGAAGGTGTCGAAGGCGCGAAACCTGAACAGAGCCTTTAACCTGAATCATAAAATGTTTTCCGAGCGCAGACCCTGAGAGGAGCGCCAAACATTTTCGCCACATCCGGGTGCCTGCCTGCAGATTCACGGCGTATCCGAGAGGACGCGCTGGCAGGGGTAGTCAATCCAGTGCTGTCAATTATCCTCTCTGTGGCTGGGGACGGACTGACACAAGTTGGAGCAATCGCGTGGGCTCCACTGTGCTGAAATCACGCGCGCCCACCAACTGGAAATGCACCTGTTGCCGCCTATTGGGAAACTTGCAAAGAGCGAATGAGATCATCTCAACGTAAACATTTAAATGTTTTTAACTCTAGACGCCAGATGCTGCTTTAAAAAAAACCCTCTAAAAACAAATCATCTGACTGGAGAATTAAGTCGTGCGATGACATCAGAGAGCAACGAAGACAGGGAGAAATGTATATCTATCTCACTATATATATTGTATGATCCTAAATTAAAAACTGCTGCAAGGCTGCAATTAAAGGTCGTTTAAAGTACAGCCGTGTACCTGCTTTAAAACTATCCACGGGTTTCAAAACCTCCGAATCTGTTTATCCTTTACGATTCGGTTAAGTGCTGTAATGAAGGTCATGAGACACGTGACTGCACAAAAGAAACCAGTCCGAACAGTGATAAATCTGCTAGAAACAAATGGTGACAACTATACTTTCCCTTAAGAGGGAAATTTCTGTATTTGAGGATGAATACCATGTCCCTATCTTATCCTATCCTATCCATATGAAGAGTTAAACGCTCGGACTTACCCCGCAGGGGTCTTGCCCTTATGATTAACGGCATTAGATCACCTGGCTCTTCTCGGGGGCCTCATTGCGCTTTTTTCTGTCCTCTCTCCGCGAAGATTCGAGAGGAAATGGGTTGTTAGAGCGGTGCTGGAAGGTTACCCGTGATTGGATTACCTGAGCCTGCGGGATAAAGTTTCACGGTGGCGCGTAATCCTCAGATTATAATCCTGCTCCACTGTTCCATAAACTGCAGGTGAGGGAGGCAGATGCAGCTCGGTCCGGACAGCAATCCTGCACAATCCCACTATGCATGCAATGGGTTTAAAGTATTATGTCCAAATAATTACAATAAGCACAAAAAGGTCACGCCAGGACACAGGGGCGTATTAACTTTTCACTATCAGTCTGCCATTTCGAGCAAAGTTAGGATTTAACGTGACTATAGATGAGTGCGATTTCAAATAAAGAACATAAACTAGACGTAAAGTGTCACAGAGGTTCCGAATTAAAACACACAGCTATAAATATCGTTTTTCTTTAACTGGTTTTCCTCAAATAGGTTTTACTATTTGGAAATTATATCCTATCGTAAATATCTCATCATGCCACGATTATTATAAGTTATTATTATTATCATAAGTTATTATTATTATTATTATTATTATTTGATCGACTTTGAAGCTCAAAAGAGTCCCCAGAGTTTTTTTCCTAGAAACATTTTGTATTTAAGCACTCTCTAGCTCTAGCTAAATGCGACTGACCACAATTACAGTTCGAATTAATATGCGGAAAAAATCAGTGCCTCGGAAACTTTTTTAAAGAGCCGTGGTTTCCGGGGACAGCGGAAGTTATATGTGTCTGCTGAATTCCGTCCGTGTGGGAGCAACAATCATATCCAAAATGGAGACCGTAAATGCTGGACATATGATGAGCTTAGCTGCTCTACAGAGGCAAGATCCATACATAAACAAATTGCTCGATGTTACCGGCCAGGTGGCTCTATATAACTTCAACTCCAAGGCGAATGAGTGGGTAAGTTTGTAAGTAACGTGACTTTGCGGAAAGCCGTCAAAGCTATTTGACTTAGCATGCTAGCTGTTCTGTATAAACACAAAAATACAAAGAAATTTGATGATATTTGCGGAAGTGAACTTTATCCAGGTAATGCTTACACACGTTGTGTTTTGCCACCACTGTCATTTTGATAATTTTTTAATTTATTTATTTTTTAAATGCCAATAAGCGTAATATTTTATGCGCTAGCTACAGTTGTGCTAACAGCGTCCTTTGCTATTATTCAGCATGTTTATCGTTTCTGACTGACACCTTCACTTTTTATTTTACAGGAGAAGACTGAAATCGAGGGCACCCTGTTTGTTTATGCAAGGTAAGCACGTGAGGCTTTTATAGGAATGTAACGCGTTGACCGCGAGGACTTGTTTACCTGTTCTTACGTTTCACGCGCTGTCATTTGACGTGTTCTACGCACGTGTGCAGGCCTCAGTCTTTGTAAACAAACACGAATTAGATTGCATGTGATTTTTGTCCGCTCACAGAACGAAAATCACACCCTGTTTAAACAGGAAAATAATAAGTAAAAGTTTTAGTAATTAATTCCACTTGAAGTGTAAAGACTTGTTTGATAAACAGCTTTAACACGCATCGTTGTTTTGAGGGCTGTTCATATATTCATTTGAAAATAACGAAATGTTAGCAACCGATTTAATTGGTTATTGATTAATATGAATATCTTTCACAAAATTGAGAATTATGTAATTCTCAGAAATTCTCATTTACAATATCTGAGAATCCTCCAACCTACCTCCAAGCCTGAGGCCATAGTTCTCAGCTAGAAAAGGGTGGAGTGCTCCCTCCATGTAAGGGATTATTTGCTATTTGGATCTTGTACACAATTGAGGGGAGCGTGAAATTGACGGACTGATTGGGGCCACATCTGCAGCGATGCAGATGGTTTACAGATCAGCAGTGGTAAAGAAAGAGCAGAGTCCTAAAGGGAAACTTTCAATCTTACATCCCTACCTTCAGCCATTATCAGGAGCACTGGGTAGTGATCAAAGACAATGAGATCTGTGCCAGTTTAGGCGACCACATACCACATGGCCAGAGAGCAGCAGCCAGGGTTTGAAAAATGGGATGAAGAGGCCAAACTGATCTGAAAATCAGTGAACTTTTTTTTTTCTCTAAATGTGTTCATTCTTTGTCATAAAAAAATCATTCATGGATGACTAAACTAATCGACACAGAGATGTGTTATATCAGTGAGGTGATGTTTTATGTTTTTTGTCCCTGAAAGGTCTGCTTCCCCTCGCCATGGCTTCACCATCATGAATCGACTGAGCACGGAGAACCTTGTAGAGCCAATCAATAAAGACCTGGAGTTTCAGCTACAGGATCCATTCTTGCTCTACAGAAATGGCAACTGTGAGTGTTTTGTTGTCCAGTTACACAGAAACTGCAGATGTCATGTGCAGGAGATTCATATTTCTGTGTATGCTTGGACTGAAATCAGATGTGCTGCAGTACTTCACAGCTTCTCAAAGTTTAAGGGAACAAAAAAAGACCACCATCCCAGAATATCAGCCAATGTTTCTCAGCTACATAATATTTCTCTAGTACAATGTTTCTCCCATAATATAGCGCTGTATCACAAAAGGTAGTGTCGAAGAGAAACATTTACCATAGCTTTGAAAGGCTCCGCTTTAGACAAAAAGAGATGATAATTTGGGCAAGAAAAATCACAAATTAACTGAAAAAAGTAAATATCCAAACAGTCAGTAAACTTTTGACCTTTATCTAAATGTTACCGCACTCTTAGTTTTTATTTCATGAACTTTAGAAAAAAATGAAAAATGTTGTATTCAAAGAATTTCTGCGTTTCTCTACATATAGATTTTGTGTTAAGTTTGTTTGCTGTATTGGTTTTATTTAATTTTTCCTGCTCAAAAGCAATAATGCCAGAACACATTAGTACCTTTGAAAATGCTGGACAGACACTTTCCCAGTGTTCTCTGGAACAGCTCTTCTCCCTTTTGCTTGAAGTCCTTCTTGTATCTTGGAGAATCAAGGAGGAAGACCTTGTCATTCATGGCCTCAGACTGGTCTGTCAAACCACACAGTATTCAGCTTTGTGTGGCCACAGTTTTCATTCTGTATTGGACCAACAAACAAAAAAAACTTTTGGCTCTAAGGGGTGAATTAGGCTTCTATTATATAAATATTTTTATGCCTGCTGCGTTTTTTCCTGAAGGCTTATTCCAGTGAAATCAGCAGGGAGTAGGATCAGATGAAAAGGCTGGAAATAAATCCTCAAATCCTCAGAAAGTAACTGACAGTGCTCCCACCGAGGTAATCTATCAAAAGTCTGAACAGAAGTTTCATTAAGGCAATGAACAAGGAGTTGGATTGTTTTCCCATTTGTTTGCTAATGAGAAAAAATAACATGGCCAGGCTCAGCGTCAGAGTGGACTGCTCCCCTTTAGGACTCGGCTTGCCTATCAGCCTGCCTGGTATGGAAGACATGATGTAATGTTTTTGTTGATATCCAAGTCAGAAGCTTTTCCAGGTGCTTCACAGGAGTCAGAGTGCTGCTGTTTTCATTTTAATTCCTCAAAGTGTGTTAGGTTGCAGGCAGATAAAGTGGTTGAAGGTGTTCCTCAGGCTGTGAAGATGCTCGTCTGACAGCTGATGGTCACTGTAAGGCAGGTCAGAGTAGACGGTCTTTGATCATTTGTTCCACACGAAGGTTTGCACTGCCCATTTGAGCTTTTCAGTAAGATAAGGTACGGGCTGAGGAGCCTTTGTTTGTTCTCTGCCTGAAGTCTGTTTTGCTGTTTGTGATTGCTCTCTAGGTAGAGTTCAGGTTTGTGAGAGAAAGTGAGAGCAGGATGTAGATGATGCTCCTGAGACTCCTCTCTCCAATTAAAAATAATGAAGGCTGATATTGCCGAAAGATGATTGTTTGAAGAGCATAGAGTCGAACACGGAGAGGATGGATTCTTCAGAGGGATGTTAATGCTGCTCCAAGTGTGTTTGAAATCTCTTCTGCAGGCTGATGCGTGTGCTCAAAGTTTCAGATGTCTGTTGCTGGGGTGTGTACTTGGACTTGTGCATACACCTGTTTACAACACTTTGTGTTCCCGTTGGTAGCAGGGGATGCTCCAGGGAGGCAAGCACTTGGGTTGCTAGGTTACCTCAGGCTTTAGAGGGAACTTGAATACACCAGTGTTTCATCACATAGACACACACAAAGCATGAGTAGCTTCATATAAACTTATTGTTTTTCATCAGAAACTGCAAATGTGCAGTTTGCTTGTTTTCCGTTTGGTGTCAGTGAATGTTGTGTTAGCTCTCCACAGATGAGCTTCTCCTTTTTGTTTTTGATTGTTTTGTAACTTCACTGCTTTGGACTGTCAGATTCTCATTGATCCTAAGGTCCACCAATGTGCAGTCATGTACAGTGCTCATTTAGTGTTGTTTTCAGTGTTTTCTTGGATGGCTCAATTATGTTAAGTCACAAAGCTGACTAAATTAATAATCTTAAAAAGACTTAAAAATCATATAGTTACTTTAGCTGTATTTATGAAGTGTCGGGTTTGTTTTAAAGAGTTTTGTATAAACTGGTGTCTGCTGTCAGTGTTATTAAATGCATTATTTGTATCTGTGTTTTTAACAGTGGGTATCTATAGTATTTGGTTCTATGACAAGAAGGATTGTCAACGCATCGCTCAGCTCATGGTCAAGTAAGTAGCCAGATATTTGATGGATGAAATTGGGCAAGGCTTTACGTTTGTCTGTTTTTTCCACTTACCAAGTTTGATTTGTATTTCCAAATTGAATTACAATGTGTACTTTCTGGAAATGTGGAGGTCTGTAATGTTCACTAAATGCAGGGTTTGAACAACTCCACATATAAGATGCCATAAAGTTGATGCAGTGTAAGGAGTTTTTAATACAGAATAATTCAAATTAAACAAAAATATAGGAGCCCCATGAAAAGCAAATCAGACCATGAACCAACCATGCAGCGGGATGTAAGATTCAGGCTCCACCTTAAAAGTAAGACTGCCATCTCCATCTTGCAAGGTAAAAGGAGCAATCACGTCACTCCCAAGTTGACTACGGTGCAGTAAAGTGAAAAAAATCGAGGAAAAACAGACTTTGTTTTGCTCGGGAGCATTGTAGAGCTTTTCATTCATCACTAGCAATATAATGTACGGCTTATTTAGCAGGTCACACATACGCAACAGTAGTATCCATCCATCCATTTTCTTCCGCTTATCCGGGGCCGGGTCGCGGGGGCAGCTGCCCAAGCAGAGAAACCCAGACCTCCCTCTCCCCAGCCACCTCCTCCAGCTTATCTGGGGGAACACCACAGCGTTCCCAGGCCAGCCGAGAGATATAATCTCTCCAGCGTATCCTGGGTCTGCCTCTGGGCCTCCTCCCAGTGGGACATGCCCAGCAAACCTCGCCCAGGAGGCATCCTTGACAGATGCCCGAACCACCTCAACTGGCTCCTTTCGATGTGGAGGAGCAGCGGCTCTACTCTGAGCCCCTCCCGAATGGCCGAACTTCTCACTCTATTTCTAAGGTAGAGGCCAGCCATCCTTCGGAGGAAGCCCATTTCTGCCGCTTGTATCCGCGATCTCGTTCTTTCAGTCACTCCCCACAGCTCGTGGCCATAGGTGAGGGTAGGGACGTAGATCGGCCGGTGAATTGAGAGCTTTTCTTTTACACTCAGCTCTCTCTTCACCACAACAGACTGGTACAGCGTCCGCATCACTGCAGCCGCTGCACCAATCCATCTGTCGATCTCCCGCTCCCTTCTCCCATCACTTGTGAACAAGACCCTGAGATACTTAAACTCCTCCACTTGGAGCAGGTTCTCGTCCCGGACCCAGAGGTGCTGATTCTCATTCCCACCGCTTCACACTCTGCTGCGAACCGTTCCAAGGCCAACAGTAGAAATGAAGTTTTAATGTTTTGCTATTGTTTATGCTTACTGCCACTATCTTGGATTGTAAAGTCAGGGTTGGTGGGGCTATTCTGATTATTCTCAGTGAGAAATCCAACTTGAGGAGGCATTCCATCTCAGAACTTAGGATTTCTGCTCTCCCATTTCAAATAAAATTCAGAATAAAAACGGTTCTGCTGGTGAGTCCCAGCTCCCAACTCAACTAATAGATCAAAACAAAGAGCCAGGCACTTTGCTTCTTCTGACTTTCAGCCAGTCAGGCATAGGCATGAGTCGGGGTGCGAGCAGGTTAATGACAATTATCAAAATAAACCGTGATCATGGTGCAAATGAGCTGTGCAACGATTGGTCCACTTAGGAAATCTCTTGATTTGTGCCAGCATTGTGCTCTTGTGAAGCAAAGATGCAATTTGTAAAGGCCTGGATTGTCTAGTTCATATTTTGGTTTGCGTTTCATGGTTTGTATAATTTGAGTATTTTCACCTTAAAAAAACAAAAACAAAGTAAGGTTGTTCAGTATATTAGCTCTGACCCCAACATCATCAGTACTTAATATCTGACAAAGCAAACAACAGTTATGTGTGCAAGCAATATGTCATGCTTTAACTCTGTGCCAGGATTGTGAAACAAGAAGCAGACCATGCCCAGAAAAAGTCACCTGAGAGGGCAGAGCCGGGGAGAACCAATGGAGTCGCAGAACCCCGCAGCATCGATATCTTGGAGCTACTCAGCAAAGCCAAGGAAGAATACCAGAGGGTGAGGCGGCAAACACACAGTTAACGTAACATCTGACTTATGTTATCACACGAGTATGATCACCTGATGTATAACTATAGTGTTTGACAGGATTTGAGCCCTATTTGTGGAAATTTTGACAACAAAAACAAAGTTGTGTGAATATCCATATAAGTTATTACAGTGGTAAATGACCTGGGTCTTTTTCAGGTGTGGAGTTGTCAGTTTAAGATAGAGAGAACAGTTCAATATAATCTAATGTTTTTATGTTTGTGCAATAATTGCAGTCCCAAGCAGGTGAAACAGATGTGTCCACTGAACAGACAGCAAAAGCAGCTGCCAGCACTACAGATCCCCACATCACACCGCAGCCTGAAAAGGTACAACACACACACAAAGCAATGATTTGAGCTCCAATTTTCGTTTATCTTTAAATGTTTAAAGCTTTGTCATTCTTGTCACTCCTACACATAGAAAGTGTGGAGGAGGACAGTTAGAAGGGACATGTTTTTATCCTTGTCACTCCATACATAGTTAGCATTTGGCAGCAGAGAATGCTGCAAGGAACATTGCAAACAGACACCCAAATACGTGCCTTCAATTTATGTCACAGCCATGAGTGCTGCTTGTGTTTTCTGCAGGGTTTGCATGCGGGGCTAAGATGAACTGAACAGTTTGGGGCAATCAATGTTAACTAAATGGAAAGGGAAATGGGCCATGTTGTGAATCAATCATATACCATTGTTATATTTGGATATATTATAGCCTGTGTTTCCTGATACATTTCTAAGATATTTATCACAAGCAGTGGAGCTGTGTCATCTCCATGTTTACCAGGTCTAAGGACTGTAATTTTTACAGAAAAGTCTTCTTTTCATCCCATTAGCCAGTTTTTTGTTTTTGCATTAAAATCCCAATAGTTACCCAAAAAAGCCTCTGCTTACACTGTTTGCTGTTTGTAAAGCTCAATGATGACGACAGCTTAAACAGCTAAAATAGCACCAGGAGCAGCAGAGTGTAAGCTCCAGCTGATTAGCAACGCAAAAACAAAACTTGCAGCCAACTATGTTGTCAAAATATGATAATCGTATAGCTTCCAACAAACTTTCATAATCTTACTTATTAAAGAACCTGAATGATTAATACATGATCAAAATAGTTTTTAATTCGTTTTCTGTTATTTGATTTTTCTTTTTGAGCTCCGCTGTATTTGAGGTAATTGTTTCTTTACCCAGCAGAGCTCTCACCCCGTGGTAAAGCAGATCACAGTGGAGGAGCTCTTTGGTTCGTCTCTCCCTAAGGACCCCTCTCTACCAACCATGCCCACGCAGAGCAACACTGTTTCCAGTGACCCCTCCGCTGCCTATGTCCACAAACAACCGTATCCTGCTCCACCTCCACAAAGCACTCTCCTCATTCACCAACATGCAGCCCAAGACCCTGGTTCCAACCAGAGGAATCAAGCCCCCGGTCTGCTCCCTGCTCCATATGCACTACACCCAAGTCCTGTATTCCAGTCAGTGATCCAAAGGTCAGACCCTCAGCTACACTCCTCAGTGTCCCCACTCATAGTGCCTTCAGCTGCTCCTCCTGGTACCGCAGGACCTCCAACTGCTCAAACATCCTATATGGGTCAGGACATCCTCGCCACACTCAAACCGGCAACACCTTCTGTAAATTCAGACCACCACAAACCCATCCTCGCACCTAACTTCCTGCCAAGCACATTGGTCCCACCCCACAGCTTCCGAGAGCCTATGGGAAAACCCCTTCTCCAACACGGAAAGGACGTGGATGTTTTCTCTCAGTCTCCAAATCTGATTAAACAAATATCTGTGAGTTCAGCTTTTTTTTTTTCTGGTAAATTTGAATCCAGTATTTATCTTATTTCATTTTTTGCTTTTCTTTCCTCTTTCAGGCTGTCCCCATGAGTCCAAGTCTTGCTGTTCCAGGATCAGGGGTTTCTGTGCTGCTGTCCCCCAGTGCCTTCCAGCAGTCCCTCAATAAGACACCGGCAGCAACGTCAATGGTCCCTCCTGCACCCACTGAGCCCACCTCAGCCTCTGGAGGAGCTAAAGAACCTGTAGCAGCCCACTGCAGTAAAGCAGAGCTACAGGAGACTCTGATACACCTCATTAAGGTAAAGTAGAAGCGTAAAGTATATAAAAGAAACTGTCGGCACTTCATAGCATGAGAAAAGTTCAAGCTAGTACTAATTACCCCTGTATTATAACATTATGTATAACTTTAAATATCTTTTCCACACATACAATGGAACTAATAATGGACCTTGTCTAAAATTGTTTAGTGTGTAGACAGTGGCAGATCTGAGACGCCCACAGAAGTCTTAGGTGTTCTTCCCAGAACTAAATAACCAACAATGTGCTTCCTGTGTACATAAACATGTGTGTGCCCAAAATGAATGGTCTTGTAGAATTATATTAATATGGATTATATACCGTATATAAAAAATAAATTAGCTCTTTTTTTTTTCTCATTTTCTCATGTGTGAAGCTGTTGTCCATGCATTCTCTCTAACAGCCAGCAGGGG